TGTGTTACTGCTCTGTGCTGTGCCCTGTGCTGTTTTTTCATGATCTTCCTCTAAGTTCAAGAGGGATGTTTAAGTATTTTCTGATAGTAACAATATAGTACTTTGTTATCTGAAAAGTACTTGCCACCTTGCCCCTTTCCACTGTTTCCTTGTGAATTTAAGTGATGTAAGGATAATTACGTCCACATCTTCCTGAGAATCCCTAGCTCTGGCCTGTATTTCTTTCCCAGTTTCTTCACAAGGTATACTTCTTTGTGCCCTCTCTTGATTCCACCTCTCCCATTACAGAGGAAGCAATGCAGTATGAAGGCATGAGTTATCTCCTTCAGGATGGAAACTCCTTTCTCTGTTAATCTGTTAAAGGTGCTAAAGACTAAGCAGGTTTGAGCCCAAAGAGAACCTTCTATTTTTCCATATTAATTTTTATTCTTTCAAGAGCAAGGCTACTGGTAGGAAGTCCCAGAGGTGGGCGAGGACCAGATCTGTTGTATGGCTGACACTTAACTTCATGTATCCCTTCCATCATCCATGAACACTTTATATTGCAAAGTTAGATGATGAATGCTAAACACTTTATAAAGGTGAAGTCTTGACCTCAGGCTATCTGTAGCCTGAGTAGGTTAAATTCAGATTGTCAGGGAAGCAGTTTGAGCAAGAATCTGAAGACTTGATCTGGCAGCTACAGCTGTGGTTCTTGAAACTTGACTTTTTTTCCCCCAGAGTATGTGTAAAAGAGAGAACCAGTCTGCATGAAATCGATTGTGTCTGTTTGGAAACATGTTTTTGAGCAGAGGTAATAAAAATAACTTCAGTATTAACAAATATTTCCAATGAACTCTTGAGTTGCACTCAAAGAACCTTTATAAGAAGCATTGCTGTCTGATCAGTGAATGAATACATGAGTAAGCAGATGATTTGGATGCAACTGATGTTTTATTCACAGCTTAATTCTTACTTGGGTGTATATCAAGGCAAGGCGTATTATCCTGATATTGCTGCAGTGAGCTCTGCAGTGAAAGCCAGGGATGTTCCATCAAATGATAAGTACCAATAGTTGCCTGTCACTGCAGAATTTTATTTTCCAAATAGTTAGTTCTTTTCTTGCACTTTTTACTTTGAACTTATACATTTGTCTGCAATCTTTGTAAACTTGGCTATTCCTCTTCCCTTTCCACCATATCACCTTGGGGAAGCTGCAGTTTAATAGTATCCTGTGCTATAATCTTCAGTTATTCATGTAGACAGCTTATCAAATGCGGAGAATTGGACCACAGCTCTGATCATCTGGCTAAGGGGATTAATGTTATCTAATGCAGTGTGTTGGTACCAAAGAGATTACAAGGAGCAGAAGAGGTTTGGAGGCTGAGAGTGAGTGAGTTAAAGGAGGAGGGGTGTAAAACCCCTCAGGAAATCAGTAGCCATCTCAACTTGCAACTTCTGTAGTTAATGTAATGTGTGCAGTAAAATGTATTCTCTGGAGTTGTGGGCTGTATTTGATGGGGAAAGCGTCAGAGGATACTTGCTAAAAAGCTACTTTTTAGAAGAAACAAGTATAATGAAGTAAAGATTTGTGCTTAAGACTTGTCTTGAAACTCATCTTCTTAAACCAAGTGCATAAATATTTATGGTATTTATGCATATATAGTGTTTCAGGTAGTTTGTTTAGTCTTACTAGGCAAATAGGGATGTTAAGCATTAACTGTTATATAACTGTGGGTGTCATTAAATTTAATTTGGGGAAGACAATAAAAGCATACTCTGCATACATTGTGTTGGAGTTGATAAATGCATTTCTGTAGAGACGTTCCATTGACTTGCCAAGTAATCATTGTCATAATTGTCATTAAAGGCAAAGTTGACTTAAAATCTGAAACCGCACTTACACTGCAGGCGCAGGAGTGAATACAGGCTATGTTAGCTTGCTTGACCTATCCCAGCTAAACTGCACTGGAACAAGCTTGAGCATCTCTGCCACATTTTGGTCATGTCTGAAGTGTTTGTTTAAACTACAGAATGAGAGATACTGTTCACGTTCTGTCTTTTTTCCTTCTCATGCTCCTTTAAGCATATTTGAAACTAGGAAGCTTAACTATTTCTATTGCTACATAACTGAAAAGTGAGTGAACAGAAACGGAGCTTCCAAGAGCTGGGTATGTCTGAAAAGGGTGTTAGCAGATATGCATAGTACTCTGCTGTGAAGAAGTAATTGCAAGAGGGGACTGCCAAAGGTATATGGTCCTGTGCAGTGGAGGTGTCCCCGGGGCTGGTAAGGGGGAGTGCTTGTGCTTATCAATCCAAGTCCTCCAGAACTGGCTCCAAGTCCCTCTGGAGTGCACATTTTGTGGCTCGAAGTCCTTTGACTCCTTGTTCCATACTTTGGTATTTTGTTATGTGAATACTGTGGGAGAGGGAGGAGAGTGTGTGGATGATAGAATTGCTTTATAATTACAAACCAATCCCTTTCGTGCACCCTAGGTTGATAAGTGCATTGGGATTTTGTGTTGGTAATTTAACTGGGCCTCTGTAGTGCCCAGTGGTGTTTTCACTGCCAGGTAACAGAGTGCTTCATAAATCTATCCAATGGTATTAAGTAAATTTTATGGCTCAGTCAACTTTTTCCTGCAGCGGCTTTTAAGAACAGGACAGCTGCTAGGCTTCTCAGGTGGTTTAATTCACATGTGAAGTTTCAGCCCAGCAAATTTCTTTTTCCCCAAATTACCCATCAAGTTTTTTTAAGAGTGATTTACTAATAAAATACATATTTAGGTATTTACTAAACAAAATCAAGGCCATAAAACATGATGCTGAACAAGATAGCTCTGGTTTTTTTTGATCAGCAGTAATCCAGTCGGGTGTATTAAAGGACTGTGTAAGTTGCTCCCACAGGATGTAGCCTCTGGAAAAAATGCCATGTAAAACCCCCTCTGTCTCCCCTATTCCCCAAGCTCCCCATTCTTCCCCTATTTTAATAGTAAAGCTTTTAGATATCAGTTACGTTCTTTTTCTTGAGTGGTATGTGACTGACTTGAGATGTGGAAAAGTTTTGTCTAAAGCTTTATTTAAGGAAATACAAAATAATTTGGAACTTTAAGTAAAACTGATGGGGAAAGGAATTAGAGTTGTTTGTACAGATGGGGTTAGGATGGAAATGTTTAATCTACGCATAGGTATTTCCACAATACCTCATGATTTGGTAACCTGATCTACCTTTTCCATGACAAAAGGGCATTTTGGGTGTCTTATTCAATTTAGAAACCTAGTCCTGAGTATTTTTCCACTTTTGCCTGATTTAGACTAGCTCAACTCTGTTGAATTCCATGAATTTTTATTGACTTGAAACTGATATAAAATGAGAGAAGGATCAGATTAAAGTAACTGCCAATAAATGTGATAAGAATATTCAGATGTCATGGAGTCAACCTTTTGTTTTTGAGTTGGAATTGAGTACTATCACTGAAGTCAAAGTTGCATCAGCACACAAGGCCTATGTGAGATCAGGAAGTGACCTTATGCTTTCTGATGGATTCTTTGTGCATAGTCTGAGATTGGAAAGATGGCCTGGCAAATGGGAAAGTAAGCTGGAGGAGGGAATAGAATCATTTAGTTTGGAAGAGACCTTTAAGGTCATCCTAACACTGACAAGTCCATCACTAATCCATGGCCCTAAGTACCACGTCCACGTTTTTTAAGTACTTCCAGGATGGTGGCTCCACCACTTGCTTGTCAACACATTCCCTGAAGAAATTTTTCCTAATATCCACTCTAAACTTCCTCTGACACAACTTGAGACCATTTCCTTTTGTCATTAACAATTTTTACCTGGTGCAGGAGACCCTCACCTTGCTACTGTCTCCTTGGTGATGGCTGTAGAGAGTGACAGGGTGTGTTACCCTACCCCAAGCCTCCTTTTCTCCAGACTGAACAACCCCAGCTCCCCTAGCTGTTCCTCATAAAACTTGTGCTCCAGCCCCTTCACCACCTTCATTGCCTGGACATGCTCCAGCACCTCAATGTCTTTATGATGAGGAGCCCAAAACTGAACACAGAATGCAAGGTGTGGCCTCACCAGTGCTGGGTGGAGGGGCGCAATCACTGCCTTGGTCCTGCTTGCCACACTATTACTGGTACAAGCCAGAATGCCATTGGCCTCCTTGTCCGCTTGGACACACTGCTGGCTCATATTCAGCCACTGTCAACCAATACCCCCAGTCCTTTTCCGCTGGACAGCTTTTCAGCACTGTTCCCCTAGCCTGCAGTGCTGCAGGGAGCTGCTCTGACCCAAGTGCAGGACTAAGTGCTTGATCTTGTTGAGCCTCATAGGACTGGCCTCAGCCCATCAATCCAGCCTGTCCAGATTCCTCTGCGGAGCCTTCCTGCCCTTAAGCAGATCAACACTCTCACTGAACTTGGTGTTATCTGCAGAATGACTGAGGGTGTCCTGGATCCCCTTATTGAGGTCATTGAGAAAGATATTGAACAGAACTGGTTTAATAATAAGGTAAGCCTGCAGTACCTTTTGCCAAACCATTGAAAATTACTCTGTGTTTATTAGTTGTCTTTCTTCTCCTGGATAGTGATGCAGTGTTGGTAGCAGACAGGAAAGCCTGCACTTTTAATCTGGAAACTGTTGTAGTTGAAGATTAAACTTACTTCTCCAGTGAAGACGAAACTCACTTCTCCAGTGTTGGAATATAACATTACTAGTGTATGCCAAAGAGTATTAGGAGAGGCTGTGGAAGGAAAAAAAAACCTTTGAAACCTCTAGTATCAGTTTGGTCTCTTTTGCATCAAAAATGAGCAAGTAGAATGTGAAACTATTTTTAAAGCTACTTTTTCCTTCTGAAATAGTTTGGCACAGGTTCTGAAGCGTAGTTGTTGAATAAAGAAACTTCCCAGCAACTGCCCTTTGATTATTTCTAAATGTAGATTACAGCTGTCCTTTTGGGAAAGGCGCATAGCTCAGCATGTGAGAAACTGACACCTTTTTCTTTCCTTTTCAGAGTATCTCCTCTACAGAAATCCGAAATAGTAGACATGGTCAAGAAACACGTCAATGCCATAACACTTGCCATTGGGGATGGTGCCAATGACGTAGGAATGATCCAGACAGCTCACGTTGGAGTGGGGATCAGTGGCAATGAGGGCATGCAGGCAACCAATTCCTCGGATTATGCCATTGCACAGGTCAGATGCAAAAAAGAGCAACTGCCACATCATCTTGTCAGAAATGTACTGTGCAGCAGTCTAGAACTTGATGGCTTCTTCTACCCTTCAAATTAGAAGCATCTCTGTTTCCTTTTCGAGGCAGTTGTTTGAAACATATTTTGGATATATTTTGGGAATTCGTTATTGTTTTGTATTCTTCAAGGCAAAGCTCCACCTCTCTTCAAAGTTTTAGCTTCCTCCTAACAGCTGTGCAGTATCTTAGTTCTTGAGTAATCGGGGGAAGCACTCTCTGTGGTGCTTGTGTTAATATGCTTTTAAGTAACTTATCTGTCTTGATGCAAGCTCTTTTCTCTTACTGTGAGTAGGGATTAGAACCAGGTGTGTCAGTTTGGCTGTTTAACAGTTCTTAGAGGTGTCTCCTCCTTTATTGTTATTCCCCTTACCCCTGTGATGCATCTAAGAATTGGTCACAGTTCTAGAGGGCTGGGCAGCGTTTTTGTTTTACATATGTTATTTTGATCGTTATTTGGATGAGTGCTCCCAAACTATTCCATCCAATTCAGCACTGATAACTTGAGCTAAAACGGAGAGCTAAAAGCCTTTTTGCCTTTCTTATTGTGTTACTGAAGAAACCAAGATGTAGAATAATGACTTTAAAAGAAACAGGAGAAAGGAAGGAGATGCTTCAGTAGCTGGACATCCTCTTAATACTATTTACAGCTGAAGTGCTCTATATATGTGTTTGAGACTGATGCAGGGCAAAAAACAGATGGAGATGATGGAACAGAGATCAATCCACTGTCTCTTCAGTGGTCTGTGAACTTCAGCTAATATTCCCTTCTGGCAGGGTGTAGGCAGATTTGTTCTACCAAGTGACATGAAATACTACCATCTTTTGATAGTTTCAGTAGCAGGTGAGATTTTTAAAAGGGTTGGATAAGTGCTGTTTGCACAGATAACTGTTTATTGTGTTAACCCTGCTGAGAAGCAAAGTGGCAGTCTTGTGTTGCTGCTCTGTACTGCAGTCCAGTGAAGCACACTCAGTATCAGGTTTGAATAACTGAGACCTTTCACCAAATTTATCCTGAGAATTTCAGGCAGTTCTATCAAGTACTTACTCTGTCATAAAGAGTTGCCTATTCCAAATATATAGCATTATAAGGACTGCCAAAATCATTGTCTGCGGTATCTTGTCATGACTTTCATTTTTAGTTTCTGAGGATTATATGTTGCTTCTGCTGTATAATTTAAATGAATGCTCTGTACTTTGACTTCCTCAGATCATTTATTACTTTTAACAACTAAGCATAAGCAGTGAGAGATCCTATACACTTAAATACTTTTGTGTTGCAGTAGCATTAAATCTGGAGAAGTAATTCCATATTCATGTGTTGCTTCTGCATTAACAAAAACCCCTGTAATTTGGTTTAGTGTTAGAATGTGGAAGTTCCTCTTGGTTTAAATTCCAGTCAGCAAGTTACTGAAAAAGAAATTAATGTTTTTAGTTCAATAAAAGCTGATCACACCAGCAAAGAATTGTAGCTTTCAAAAATCAGTAAAACACTGTGGAACTGTATTTTTTTGTGATTGTCTAGAAGTGCTTTGTGCTGATTAGAAAACATATAAAGAAATCCGTCTTGTAAGGGAGACTAATACTGTGTAGTAATGTGTGCTTAAAAAAAAAAAGAAGTGTTCAAAAGAAAAACTCGATCTCTGTGGAGTATGTTTCTTTCAACAAAGACATGTAACTCCCACTAAAGCATTACTGTGTGTGCATGCCTTGAAGGCAGAGTATGTTCTTATTGAGTAATTTAAGACGACCACTCTAATGTAGCATCTCATGTCAAATGGTATTTCAAATGCAGTAGTGCCAGAAGTAGGCACTTATAGAAGAGAAAGTCTCCATATAGGCTCATTTGGGATTCCAGGGAGAATCAAAGCATAAACCAAACAAAAATAAAAAGCCAACTTGGGTCTAACTCCACTCCAAATAGCTTCCACAGGTGCAAGGAGCATCTGTTTGAATCATCCTTTTCCCTTTAAATGAAACTGTACCAGTGATCTCTATTTAGAGAATTCCCAAATCAAATGACCTAACTGTTTAGAGAGACAGTAATAGGCTTTAATAACTTTTTTCCACAGTAACTAGCTTTATCATCTTAATCCAGAGAACATCTGGTGTCTAGGGACCGTTCCCTTTTCTTAACTAGAAAAGCTACCTTATTCAACAAATGTTCTTGTTTCAGTTTTCTTCTTTGGAAAAATTGGCTTGTATTGAGGATGCATTTTCACTGTCTTAAAACCCCCCAACATGCTATCACCTCACCTTTCAGTCCAGATGGAGGTAATCTTCCTAAAAGATAATCTCTGTATGAAAGAACTTATGCAAGGGTTGATACAGAGATGACTGTGAAAACTTAAACTGTTTCACAGGTAGGCTGGCCAGATGGTTGAAATGTTCCCTGCTGATTTAAAACCCTAAATAAAGCAGTGTCCAAACAAGGGCAGTGTTGTAGTAGAGCCCCTCCCTGTCTGTACTGTTGCTCTATGCCAGTAGCTGTGTTTGAATAATTTCAGCATCAAACCAAATTTAATTCTTTGCCGTGTCATAATGGAACTCTTCACCAATGTGAGCAGGCTCAGTGTGTTATTTAGGCTATGAGTACCTTCCTTGCTGTGTTTTGCAGTGCACTCATTTTCATGAGAGCACAGATGAGACGATTAATGGTAGGATTTTTCCTTGCTCTGAGCTCAAGAGAAGATTACTTCCAAAACGGCCAATCCTTAGTTTCAGCAGAGACAAGTTTTCAGGGTGTGTCTGACTACAAGATGTTTGAGGTGACTTTGAAAAGACATAGTGGCAAATTTCCCATCACCTCTGGTGTGTTTTGTTAGTGATTTTGATGAGGAAAGTTGTACTGTCCTGCATATTAACTTGGAGTATTAGGTGTCTAATAGGCCAGCTACTCCCTTGCGAGTCTCCCAGTTTCAGCCCTGGCTCAAGTTGGGCAGAAACTGAACTGTGAAGCTTGATTCACTTTTGTTTTCTCTCCTTCTTTGCTGGCATATCCTAACAAATCTGAGCTACTGATGCATGGGAGTCGGGCTGCCCTTACAGGATTTGTGGTTCAGTGATTTCAGTGCTGGAAAGCATGGGAGCAGAGCTATCTCTCGACAGTCCTAACTCATTACTTTAGCTTTCAGTTTCAAATAAGTTTTAGTTAAAATAAATGGCGTAGAATCGAAATTTAGGAAGACAAGCTTTTCCTCTGAAGTCACTTTGTGGAAAAGGAAGCAAAGCAAAATAATGGTCCCACCTTAGTGTCCTCGATGCCTTCAGGTACACATGTGCTAAACAGGCAACATAGACACCAGTCTGAGCTTGGGAGCTGGACAAAAGAGGAATGCTTCAGGCCATAAAAAAATTGACTAACAAAACCATCAGTAGAAAATTGTATGTTTCCCAGACTGGATTATGAGACTGGTTCTGTAAAAGTCCCATTTTCAAAAAGGTTGAGTTTGAACTGTATCTGTGGTTCAAACTAGCATTAAAAGGTACACGTTTGTATAAGACTTACTTACTTGCCCTTTTTGGCAAATGCCCCTTTCTCTCTCTCTCTATATATATATATGCCCCTTATTTTAGGTGCTTTCTATAACACATGATTGCGTACATTTTATAGGCTGGAAATATTAATGTAAATGTCTGTTCTCTTTAAGTGACTCTATGCATCTTTTTTCCCCTTGTGCACTTGATATCATTTCAAGACAGTTTGAATTATTAGACTGTTCACTTAACACAGAAAAGAGATTCTGAACCTTTTAAGCCCTTGAACTATCAGAATGGAATACCAGTCAAAGACTTTTTGCTGTTCCAAGCCAGGGAAGAACACTTTAAAACATTCAGAAGTTTTCTTACAGAAAGGATGCTACCTTTTAATGTGTTGTTTTTTGCATGTAAGTTATTTAAATATTGCACTTGAATAGCTTTCATATATTGCTCTTGAATAGCTTTCATATCTGATTTGAGGGTTGTTTTTTTTTTTTTCTGAGGGCAGGGATTTACTTTATTCAAATTATTTGTTTAAATAATTCTTCATATATGTGAATACTTTCTTCTGTCTTTCAGTTTGCCTACTTGGAGAAGCTGTTGTTGGTCCATGGTGCTTGGAGTTACAATCGAGTTACCAAATGCATTCTGTATTGCTTCTACAAGAACGTGGTTTTGTATATTATTGAGGTAAGAGTAACTAAATCTATGGGTCTTACTGGTGCTTACTCCTCAAATTCTCTCTTATAAAAAGCAAAACTCATCCAAATGGATTGAGCTAAAAAGATGTTTATTTTTCTTCCATGTTTAACAACCTGAAGTTCAGTTTTCCTCCTCAGATTTAGTTCACTGTAATCTTTTAACGTTTGTAAAAGGAAAAATGAAGGTTTCAGTACAGTGAAACCAGGCATATGTGATGTCGGGGCAAAGTTAATTTCTTCTGTACAAATGTTCTTACTGAAAGCGTCTTTGTATTAATGAAAACATTTCAAACAGAGCTTAGATTTATAAAAACTTGAATTTGGGGCTAATTTAAATCAAAAGTTTGTTTAATAGAATTGGAAAAAAAATCTATGGACAAATAGTAAACTAGGAAAATTATAGCTGTTTTGTCCAAGTTTATAAAGACTGTAGCTTAGCTGGAACTGAAATTAGTTTGCCTTGCTTTTTGGAAAGAGAAGACATAATTTTGACCTACAGTGCCAGTGAAATGATAAAATCAGTCAGGTTATTTGATTTCATAATTAAAAGGTAACTGTCTTTTGAAAATTAATTGCCTGAAGATGTCATGTAGTGAAATTGGATTTTAAAGAGGGCTGAATACTGTTATTACTGTTAATACATTGCATTTCAACCTGCTTAGACAGGAGTGTAGTTCTCATGCTGCAGAATATAGTCTTGAATTTAAGAAGTATTGGGAAGGGATTTTTATCATGTGCTGTTGCCTAGTTAGAAACACATGAGGAACTTGAACTCAGTGGTTTGGTCAGTTGAGTATCAAGTGATCACTTGGTACAGCAATTTCCAGAGTGTTCACCACTTTTATCAACATAAGTCTGTGTGTGTGTGTGTATATATATATTAGGTTTTCTCTTTCTTTCTACAGTTTAGCAGCCATGAATGAGGTTGACAGATAGGAAAATTACAACATTTAGAATTAGGCAGATAGTTATATCAGTTACAGGAGACAGTGGGTAAGTAATGTTTTGCTATTCAGTAGGTCCTATAATGGTCAGTGCGTGCACCTGACTCTGTCAGGGTTTGATCGGCTTTTATGCGTGATGTTAGACTCTTAGAGAACAAATACTTTTCCCTGACCTGTTCTGTTTCTCCTGTGCTGTTTCTGAATTAGCTGTTGGTTGTTAAAATTTCAATACAGATTACTCTACCGCAGGAGTTATGCCATGCATCATGTTTTTAGAAAGGTTTTTTACATGCTGTTGAAGATGACAATAGTATTTTTTATTGTGCAAAAGGAATATAAATAATTTTTCAAATAACTTTTCTAGTGGATTTCTTATTGAGCATGGCAACTGCTGGGGGTTTCCCTGAATTGTTCAGAAAATGCTTAACAGCTTCACGATTACCTTCTGTGATTCTTTTCTCCGTTTGAAAATTGTGTGCAAGTCCTGCTTCTAGCCCATTGTAGCACTGTTTGTCTTGGCTTCATTTACTGTAGTCTGACAGGTAAATTAAGTTCTGCATCACATGTTGTATGGCTAAATTATGCCTTCCCATTGAGCAGCTGTGCAAAGGGGTTGAAGACAAGTGAATGTCTTTGGTACTTCCAGCCAGAGATAGCTTAATTATTTTACCATAGTGAGGAATTCTATTAGCCAGGTATCTCTGTATGATACATAAAATGCAAGTCTGCTCTGAGAATGTGGGGTCATATATTCTCTTCACTGTCTTAGTCTGTGTTCAGTTCTTTCTGCAGGCTGTAGTGAGGCAAAAGAGCTTTTGTCTCCTGATGTCCGTTACTAAGGTCAGTTGTATCAACACCTTAGCACTGAAAAATGTTTTACAAGATGCTGCCCTGCATCTCAGGTACCCCTCTATGCTTATGCTTCATAGAAGTTGGGAACAAGTTTAAGACTTAAGGGGGAGGTAAAATGACAGAAGTAATCTTGTAGTCCTGCAGCAATGGGAAGTGCTCCATTTGGTTTTAGTTTCCCTGGTGAGTTTGCTTTAATAGCAGCCTTGAGGAACTTCCCCTCCAAAGCTGTATAAAACCAGCCAAATTGCCTGGAAACCCAAGAGTTACAAGTTTTGGTATCCTAGGGATGCAAGGGAGAGAGGAGAGATCTTTAATTCCCTCCTTAGCTTTGCACAGAGAAAGATAAGTTGTTTTGTTCTTCTGCTGTGAAGCTCAGGAGTGCTGATCAGTTTGAGGTATGGAGTGATGCTCATGAAAGAGAAGCTTCACGAGGGAATAAATCCTTCAGCTTAAGTGCAGTTCTGCACTGTTGCACAGCTGTGCATATGGTGCATTCCTGACTGTTTCCCAACGCTCTGGACAAGTTTAATATCTACCTGTACTCTGTGCTTGGATGTGTGGTGTATGGGGAATATTCTTTCAGCTTCATAATGAAACAGGGATTTGAACCTGAGCTACTTTCTAAGTGTATCTTCTGAAGGATCGTACTGAGTAAATATTTGTATAGTTGAGTCAAAAAGCGCATTGTGAATATGACTGTCAGTTATACCTTTGTTATGGTATCTGTTTTATTTCAATGAAAATTTACTACCTGAGGAATAGATATTTTAAGCCTTATATAAATGAGTTTTGCAGCAATGAGGCGCTGGGGCTCGTCATAACTTTTATTCCCTGATACTGTCCAAACACCTGAAGGAAGAGGTAGTGCTCCAGCTTAGCATACAGGACATCTGGACACAACTTGCAGAGGCATGCGTTAAGATTAAACTTAAGTTGATTAAACAATGATAAATGCTTGAGAAGAACATATTGCTGTTTTGTTTGCTGTCATCCCAATGTTGGTATACTAAAACCCTTCATACTCTTAGAAGTTCATCTTGACACCAGTCACTCTTATACCCGGAGGATCCAAGTGTTGCATCTCTGAAATATTAAATTTTGGGGTTTTGTGGGAAGGATACTCAGGTAACTGCCATCGTGGGCTTTACTCCTGAGAGATGCTGCAGCATTAAGACTGGTGCTTACCTTCCTGTAGTGGCTTGTTTGTGGAGAGACAGGCTCTGGAACGGTGTTCAGCTGCTTTGATGAGTAAAATGTGCACCCATAGTGGGACAATTTGATGCAACTGGAGAGGTGGTATAACAGAAGGCAGACCTCGTGGTTTAGTGAATGCAGGGGAAACAGAGGTGAATGTATTTTCCCTCTTACTTGATAAGGCCCTCCTAATATTTTTCAGGAGGTGAATTTTAAGTCGTCAATGTAATAAAGCTCAGTAAAGTCTGAGAAGATTTTTGGCTTGGCTTAGCAGCTGTGTTCCTCTCCTTTCTTTGGCTGGTCTCTCCTTTAGCATTTCTTCATCATTGTCCTGCTCTTCTCTTGATTTCTCCCCTTGATTTTTGAAAAGACAAAATTCATTAAAATATAAACAAAAAGCACAAAGATAAGCAGGTCCTGGAAATGCAAATCCTTTCGGTGCGATTCATAGCCGGATCACTTGCATATCACTGTTGCCAAGGTGCTTCAGGGTACAAAGTTGAGGTTCCCTTGCTTAGGGAGTCACCAAGAGGAGTGCAGAATCAAACCATTGCATCCACAGAGCTGGTTGATACAGTAATTGTTGCTGCTTCCCCACTCTTGACTGACCGTACTGGTTGCAAGGGAATCTACACGGAAAGCTACCGGTGTGGCTGCAGGGATGAAATACAAATATAGAGCCCTCTCTGTGGTGTCCATTCCTGTATTTCTGGTGTCTGGCTGCAGTAGCACTGTATGCTAAAGCCATTTCTGAGGAAAGCAAACCATTCAGCATCATCCTGAGGCAGAAGATCGGTGACAAGATTTTGGCTTTTGAAGATTTGACATGCAAATACCTGGGCATCCTTACAAAAAACCATTTCATTCAACTACTGATGTACCTGGCTTTAAACTGACTAGTGAAATGAAAGATCTGTTCCACATCTGTTGAGCAGATATATTTCACTGGAGATGATATAAAGTTGTCCTGATGATATCAGAGCTTGGAAATACAGCTGATCTAAAATGTAAAAGAATACAGAAATATTGCTTTCATGTCATTCTTGGAGAAGTAAAACACAGCAAGATCAAAGGTGAGATCAGAAATATCAGGTAAGAGTTCAAGACCTTTGGGAATGGTTCTGTGGAAACAGTAGCGTGGAAGATAGTTTTCAGTCCAACACAGTGTGCAGGAAAAGTGTGCTCAGTACTTCACTGGAGCATGTTGAAATATACTTAAAATGAAGTGCTTTTGTATTATATATTGCAGAATGAGTTGGGGATGCAAATAGGTGGTCCCAGTGTCAAGGTCTGGCAGTGGAGACCATGACAGATAAATGGATGACAAGTGGGAAGGGGAGAAAATAGTGTCCACAACTTGATGCTGCATTATTCTAATTTCTGCCTTAAGAATCCAGAGATGAATTGTAAGGCCATATTAGAAAGCTGTTTCTTTTTGGATCCTGAAAGGGAAGTCTTAATATGTGAGTGGTGTTAAACAAACAAGATAAATGCACTAAAGAACAAAACACCGGGATCATAAATTTTTCTTCTAGAGTTGAATTTTCAAGTTGCAAAAGCTCCCAGTAAACATGCTTTTAAAGAAGTGGTGGTTTAATGAGTCAGCGGGGTCTGGCAATGAGAACTGTTAAGTGCTCCACACACTCAGTGGTCACCACTTCAGACGAGCTGATAGCACAGGCTGCAAAAGCGCACATGAAATGTTGCAGCTTGAGACCTTTCATTTGTTTTTCCTGTTTTCATGGCTTCCTGTCAAACACAACAGGTATTTTTAAAAATATGGAAAGCAGACATGGGAATTTTGACTCTCCTATCCAAATGGTATGTGGGAAGAGTGTATCATGGTGCTAAAAAATATACAGCTCTAACGCTTTGGTGTGCTTATCCCTGATTTATGTAATCTGACTTTTGTCTACATCCCTGTGCTTTCTGTTTCCAATTGACTTTGCCACTCTGAGGTTGCAGCCAGACAATAGAAAACCTTAAGCATGGGGATTTT